AAGAGTATGAGGAGTCAATTTCCGTAAGGATAAATAGGACAATCCTACTATGTCAAATAAGATTGCAGTCCATTTTGCCAATCGGACAAGTTTATCCTCCACATTTGGTTTGGACAATTTCTTATTAATGCTTTTTCTCACAGTTGAGGGGTATTCATTTATAAGTTTTCCAAGAATATAATAATTCTCAAAAGTTCTGTTCTTAGGAAACTTCAATTTTGCTAGAATCACCCCCACCTGTGCTTCTGTACTTCCTTCAATAGTTGGTAGTTCTATTTTGTCATCTCGCCATTCTCTAAATTCGTCCAAGTATTCTTCAATTCCAGAGGATCATTGTGGTGATGTTAATCGTAATGCCTGTTTTTCCCCATTTATTTTTAATTTTTAATTTTTAATTTTTTTTTTTTTTTTTTTTTTTTTTTTTTTTTTTTTTTTTTTTTTTTTTAGGAATTGCGAATGTTAATTATTTACAAATATTTATTAGAGATTAGATAGTTTACTTTGTGATATGATAATTAACAAATTGTTTGTATGGATGCTTAAGTGTTATGTTGCAATTAAAGTGCAATATCGCGGCTAGAATGTTAGATTGCAATGAAGTTGTTACTAATTAATTTAATTGTATAAAAGAAGCTCAAATTCAACTTGCTTGTAAAATAACCTTAACATTCTAATAAAGTTTTAAAAGTTAACTTATTTCTAAGTTAATAAATTAGTTTCAACTAAATAAAACGTTTTTCTTAATTCACTAAACCAAAATTATTGCTAATAAAACTAATTTGTTAGTAGCCAATTCATAATCATAAATTTTATATTGTTATCACGCTCCCCCAAACAATAATTGGTGACAATACCATGAATTGACTATTCAAATATGGACATTCTTTTTCAATTGGGAGTGATGTTGAGAATTAAGTGAATTAAATGTATAAAATTATTTTATTAAATTTATTGTTTTTTCTTAAGCCTACTGACAGGTTTTGCTATTTTTCTATAAGGAAATAACAATTCTCTATTATTATTATTATTATTAGTATTAGTATTATTATTATTGTTATTATTATCATCATTAAAATTATTATTATTATTATTATTATTATCATTATTATCATCATTGTAATCCATTGTTATATCCATATCATCAGATTCGGGCCAAGTAAAGAATGTTTGAGATGAAATAGTGGTAGTTGATGACGATGGGTTTGGTGGTGATGATGATGATAATAATGATGATGGTAGTAGTTTTGGTAATGACAGTGGCAGTGATGATAATAATGATGGTGGTGGTGGTAGTGATGATGGTGGTGGTGGTGGAAATGATGATTTTGGTGGTGGTAATGATGATGATGATGGTGGTGGCGGAAATGATGATAATGATGATAATGATGATAATGATGATTTTGGTGGTGGTAATGATGATGATGATGGTGGTGGCGGAAATGATGATAATGATGATGATAATTTTGATGATGATGATGGTGGTGGCGGAAATGATGATAATGATGATGATGATTTTGATGATGATGATGGTGGTGGCGGAAATGATGATAATGATGATTTTGGTGGTGGTAATGATGATGATGGTGGTGGTGGCGGAAATGATGATAATGATGATGATGATAATGATGATGATGATTTTGATGATGATTTTGGTGGTGGTGATGATGATAATTTTGGTGGTGACGATGATGGTGATGATGATGGTGGTGGCGATGATGATGGTTTTGGTGGTGGTGGTGATGATGGTGGTGGTGGTGATGATGGCTTTGGTGGTGACGATGATGATAGCTTTTTCTTCTTTTTTAACCTTTTCTCCTATTGTTAAATAAAATCAAATAATGTTATTTTGTTTTTTTTTTTTTTTTAAAAAAAATTATATTTATGATCTCAATTCAGCATATTGCTATAAATTCTTATTTGAAAAGCAATGACTCAGAATGAAAAAATTGACACCACATTAATAAATAATGAGGAACAATTCTTAATCCATTTACACTACATTACCCAAAATAATGTAGAAAAATGAACCGTAATAAAAACCACAATAAAATTGACACCACATTAACAAGTAATGAGGAACAATTCTTAATCCATTTACACTACACTACCCAAAATAATGTAGAAAAATGAACCGTAATAAGAACCATAATAAAATTGACACCACATTAACAAGTAATGAGGAACAATTCTTAATCCATTTACACTACATTACCCAAAATAATGTAGAAAAATGAACCATAAAGGAGAACTACTAGCATTTTAATTTTTTTTTAAATTTTTTTATTTTTTATTTTTTATTTTTATTTTATTTTTATTTTTATTTTTATTTTTTTTTGTTTTAAATTATTTATTAACATTTAGAATACCAATACAAATGATAATTCTAAATGTTTAAATTATTTTTTATTTTTATTTATTTTTTATTTTTATTTTTTTTTATATATTTTTAAATATTATTTTTTAATGCTAGTAATTCGGTAATAAATATCATCATCATCATTGCTATTTATCTATCTAGCCAATTCATCATTAAATGAGTAGGATATCTTTATGAATAATATATATCAAATGTACCTGATAATGCTTCTTCAACAAAGCCCCTGCCTTCTCCTTCCTTTCCACCGCCTCCTCTTCCTCTATTTTTTTCAACTCTCTGATATAGTGCACTAGTATATCTTCTTCTTTGTATTTGAGTATTGTTAGAAAAATTTTAAAATGGTCATAAGACCAGTCCTCTTGTTCAAAAAAATTTTTTAGGTGAGAATTATCGCATTTCATTTTAAAAAAATTTTTAAAAGAAATCTTTACCCTTATTTGTGATACCTAATGATTATATACAGGACAGCAGGGTTGTCAATGGGTCAATTGAGACCAATTTCTAAATATGTTTAAAATGTTACATCAACAGACCCAACAGACCATCAATGGACCAGCACCATGACCAACCCTGCAGGACAGCCAAGTTGTTTATATATATATAGCATATAGAAAAAAAACCATATTTCTATTACCATTACTGTCTTCAATATACTCGGGTTTATAAAACTGTTTTTTTGTAAATCTCTAAAACTTATTAACCAATACTAGACAAGCTTGGAAAACAAGCTTTGTAAAATAAAATTGATTAATGTTTTATCAAGCATTCAATAGTTGTATGTATAACAGGCGGGTTTGATGCTTATTTGATGTAAAAATGAAAATACCATCCATATAAGTATTTAATATTAATAGTTTTTTCAAAATTAAAAAAAACAAATAGTTCTTTACCTATTACCATATATCTTTGTATCCCACTAAGTACTTGATTGAATTAAGTGATCTTAGATTCAAAAGAAAGCCTGAATTCTATTTTACATTTGATTTCTATGAAATGAACAAATGTTCATATGTGATTTATTATCAATTTGAATAATGGTTTTATTATTTCTCTTTTCTCTTTAAACATGAAGCATTGATAAAAATAGATGATAAAATCGGATTTACTAAACTCATTTTAAATAAACAAACAAATAATTGTTCACATTTTTGCATTGTATTATTTATAGTTAGTTATTCCTGAAATATCAATTAATTAATTCAAACCCAAAAATATCAAAAAAATAACAAAATTCTCAGGTTCAAGTATTATTATCAATTTGAATAATGGTTTTATTATTTCTCTTTTCTTTTTAAACATGAAGCATTGATAAAAATAGATGATAAAATCGGATTTACTAAACTCATTTTTAAACAAACAAACAAACAAACAAATGTTCACGTTTTTGCATTGTATTATTTATAGTTAGTTATTCTGAATTTGTATCAATTAATTAATTCAAACCCAACAAAAAAATTAACAAAATTCTTGGGTTCAAGTATTCTTTGTCATAATTTATAAAGTGGCGAAAAACTGATTTATTTTTTTATTTTTCTTTATTTACTGAATCGGAATTTAAAGAAAATTTTGAATATAAAATGCAAGACGTTTTTTGCCAGCTGTACTATTAAAAAAATAATCAATAATAAAGTATCTCTAATAAACATTTTCTTTATTCAAATTTTCTTTTTACAAGCTCTATTATTACAAATCTAATTCTTTTCCTCAATTAAATTTTTCCTATATATATATCAACAAATTTAATCACATTAAAAATGGTCAAATACAATAAAAGACAACATCAAATTGCAAGATTAGCTAAAGCTAGAAGAAGTCGTTCTGAACAAAGCAATTCAATGAATTTAAATACAAATGATGTTGAAATGGATTTAATTGAACCTGAATCTGAACCTGAAATTCAAACTGAATCTGAACCCGAAATTCAAATTGAATCTGAACCTGAAATTCAAATTGAAGCTGAACCCGAAATTCAAACTGAATCTGATTGGAGTTCTGATGACAACGAACCATGGGATGATTTGAGAATGGACAGAGATGATAATGCTGATCTTGTATGTGGATGGTGGGAAGAGGCAAAACAAACTTTCAAAGAAAATGCCATTTCAATAAAAAGCAGGTCTTTTTAC